ACACACACACACACACACACACACACACACACACACACACACACACATATATACACACACACATATATATATATATATATATAAGTATGCAGTGGATACAGCACCAGCCCTGGAGTCAGGAAGACCTGACTTTAAATCCAGCCTCGGACACTTAATCGTCTCTTAAGACTTTTTCCCTCAGTTCCTTGTCTGTAAAATGAGCTGGGGAAGGAAATGGCAAACCACTTAAATATCTTTGCCGAGAAAACCCCAAATGGGATCATGAAGTTGGTCACAACTGAAACAAATGAACAGCAACAAAAAATATGTGTTAACTTTATGTTGTATGTCTTTACATAGGTACATGTTGTCTCCCTTATTAAAATGTCAGCTTGTTGGGTGTGGAGATCATTCCATTCTTTGTTCCCTGCATCCTCCATATCTGGCACTTAGGAGATGCTGCTTGATTGATTTTACCTCACTGAGGGAATGTTTCATTTTTGTTTTTGTGTGCCCAATGCTTGGCACTTAATAAATGCTTGTTGATTGATATGTAAAGTACTGTCAGTAAGCTTATAATCTATTTATTAAGCAAATACTCTTATATTATAGAGGTATTATAGATGTAATATAGAGGTAATTCTACCTTTGACTCAAGAACCCACAATTGTTACAGATACATAATACGCATCTATTCAGTACATCCACTTTGTTTCATTCAGGTAACTTCTTACTATAGTATTTACTTCACAAATAGATTATAAGGTCCCTGAAGGTATTTCCATATCACTCAGCAGTATGTGATATGTGAATGAAAGGGACGCCTCTCAGCCTAGGTGAAAGCCCACAGTGGCTTTAGACCTGCTTGTACAATAGAGCTTGATTTCTCTCTTTTCAGGTTCACACGTCAAAGCTGTGGCTCAGGAGTGCTGCGGTGTCAGAAGGTCATTGATGAGAAGAGGTCTGGGTGCGGAAACGGGCATCGTGCGTGCAGTCCTTTACAGTAATCACAACAAGCTGTGTCACCACAAGCCGTATTTGGCTCTCACACAGGTCAGAAGGAAGCCTCGTCTTTTCAGGGGACGGCAGATCTACTTGTCAGAGACGTCAAGCATCCTTCTGTTTGTTCTTCTTCTTGATGAGTTATCCCTTAGTTAAAGCATTAGCGAAGGTTAACTCATAGGCCTATCTTCTCATCTACATAAAGTCTTTATAAGAAGTGACAATATAGACATCTAGAGTGTCATTGATAGACACATAAAATGAGGAAGGGTAGACTTTGGAAGATTGTAGTCTACAGCAGATTACAGCTTTATAGTCAGTTAGGGGACTGAAAAGTAGAACAAATAGATGATCCCCCTATTGTTTATTGATTTTTTTTTAAGAAAGTATTTGATGTGATAACTTCAAAGGCCATTTCTTTTAGCATTTAATTTTTTTTTCCAAATTATATGTAAACAGAAATTTTAACATTTAAAAAAATTTTTTTTGAGTTCCAAATTCTCTCCCTCCCTTGACCCTTCTCTGAGAAGTTAAGCGGTTTGATATAGATTATACATGTGCAGTCATGTAAAACATTTCCATATTACCCATGTTTCAAAAGAAAATGCAGATCAAAAAACCAAGGATAATAAAGAAAGTAAAAAAAGTATGCATCAATCTGTATTCAGACTTTATCAGTTCTTTCTCTGGAGGTAGTTGGTATTTTTTTTTTTATTTGATCATGAGTCCTTTGGGATAGTCTTAGATTGTTGTATTGCTGAGAATAGCTAAGTCATTCGTAGTTGATCATCATACAATATGGCTGTTACTGTGTACTATGTTCTCCTGGTTCTACTCATTTCACTTTTCATCAGTTTAAGTAAGTCTTCCCAGGTTTTTCTGAAAGTATCCTGTTCGTCATTTCTTAATAGCACAATAGTATTCCATCACAGTCATGTACTACAACTTGTTCAGCCATTACCTAACTGATGGGCATCCCCTCAATTTCCAGTTCTTTACCACCACAAAAAAGAGCTGCTATAAATATTTCTGTATGTATAGATTAAATATATAAATGTTATCAGCATAGAGGTGATAAAACTATGAGAACGTATGAATAAGGAAGGAGGGGAATTTTTTTAAGTGCCTACTATGTATTATTAGTATGCTAAGTAATTTTTTTTTTTAAACATTCTCATTTGATCCTTATAGCAACTCTGTGAGGTAGTTGCTGTTATTATCTCCATTTTATAGTTGAGAAAACTGAGGCAGACAGCAGTTATATAACTTAACTAGGTGGACACAGCTAGTTAGTATCTGAGGTTAAATTTGAATTCAGGTCCTTGTGACTCCAGTACCAGCCCTCTCTCCACCATGGCAGCAGCTCCCTCCTTGTTTGAGGGAGATGACGAGATAAAGAACAGCTGAGGATCAAAGATTGAGCTTGGGAACCCTTCTGAAGTTAGAAGATAAGGCAAAGAGAAAATATGAATTGATTTGATTTGCCTTTTGGCATCTGTTGTTTAAACAAGGAAAACATGTATTTTTTATGTAATTGCTAGATGTAAACCTTCAGTTCTTACCTGTCCTTGGAGGCCCAACTTGTGCCCCATCTCTACTGTGGCAGTGTCTCTGGGTATCCCTCTCACATTTTGTGCCACTCATGTGGCATTGCATTGGTGTTCCTTTTGTGATATGTGTCTACTTAATGTTTCACAAATTTAGAGCACTTTAATGTAAAAAATTACACTTCCTAGAATTGAAAATCTTAAAAAAGAATTAATAGATGAAGAACTGATCTCTCCTTTGACGCTCCGTCAAACTTCATTGTTTCGTACTCTACAATATAGCACTCAATTATATGCTGTCCTGTTTTTTAATTTGTTTCATTTGTATAAAAGCCAGAATGCAAACTGGAGGGAAGTCTCATGTACCTTCCATGTCGTCCGTAGCACCTGTTTATATAATGCTATTCTCACAGAAGGTACTCAGGAAATAATTGATGAATATGTTTGGCTGGAGAAATTGACAGATTATTCCTGCAAATGCTTTGGTTTTAATAACATGTGTTTTCTTCTTTGCCTTTGCTTTCTGTAACTCAAAAAACACAGTACATTCTTCCTCCACAGTTTGCTGTGTGTTTCAACACTGGGGACACTTAACCTGCATTCATTTGTCCAATTTGGCTTGTTTGAGATCAGCAATCTTACTTGCCTATAGTAAATGCTAATATTCATTGTTTCAGGTAGAACAGTGTCTCAAGCGAATGAATTCTGTGAATATGGAGGGGTCCATTCAAGATCTCTTTGAGCTATGTCCTAAGTAAGTGTCCCAAGGTGGTTATTTCAAGACTTTATAGACTAGAGGTCTAAAGTTTTTTGCTTTAGTACCTGACATTCTATGCTTTTGCTTTATTAAGAAAGAAAAAAAAAAGGAACACCCATGCCTAATAGTGAAGTTGCTTAACCTTAATGAATTCTGAAGGCATAATGAACTTAATGAATTCATTGTATAGCAAAATACTATATTGGGATCAGAAGAAATGTGTTCTAAAACTGGCCTTGCCACTAACTAGCAGTGGGGCCTTGGACAAATCACTTAACTGTTCTGAGATTTTGTTTTCTCATCCATGAAACAAGGTAATTGGATCACAGGATTCCTTCCAGGTCCTCTATTATTCTTGTATACATTCTGTCACTTGTCATTGGGTATTGTAGCAAAACTTTTCATTGTATTAGTTTTTATAAAGACAAAATGCAGTGGGGTCTGTAATAACAAAGGACACTTCTGGTGCTCAGACCATTGGTTAAGGACAAGACTACACTGGCATTACAATGAAATCTATAATTATATTGAGAGTCCTTTGTGATGATTGATGAGCAGAGCTGTTTAAAAATGATCTTAAAACAACTGTCCACTTGAAATTGTTAAGTAGATAATACTTTCTTGTCGGTGCCTGGTACCCAAGTATGTGACATGTAAGTACATTTACACCTGTGGCTCATTCTAATAATTCAGTCTTTCTGTTTCTGACAACTAGAGAAGATAAACTTGAAAATGCAAAAAAGTACATCATTCCCAGCCAGCCAGTTTTGGAGTTTGTGTTAATGAAGATTTTGGGAACCTGCAAATTAATACTACGTTTATTAGACTGTTGCTGCAAGACATTTCTGTATCCTTCAATTACTTTTAACATTTCCTTTTCAGTAGGAAATTGTTTCAGTATATTTAATAGTGTTTTTCTATATAATATAGAGTTCTAGGGAGACTACAATGCTTTTTGCCTCCTTCTCCCAGGAACTGTTTGTTGTTTTGTTGCCAAAGAAATTTTTATTCTTCAGTTAGTCTGCCAATATTTGTGAGATGTAGGTGTTGTAACAGCGTTAGCATGAATGGTAAATGATGCATTAAGTTTTGAGCACCTTTAAATGAAATGAATTTAAACGTTAGTAAATATGAGACAAATTTCCTTTGCCAGCAGTATTTTTCTCTAACATATAAAACAGTGGTGTCAAATTCAAAAAGAAGTGATTCCCTTCGGGCCACATAGTGACTTAGAATACCACAAATTAACATTATCTGTGTTATATTGTGTTTTTATTTATTTCGTTAAACATTTCCCAATTACATTTTCATCTGGTTCCACTGGACTGGGAAGTTTTGAGGGCTAGGGCTGGGAGTTTGATACCTCTGATGCAGATTACAAGCAATCGTTTTTTTTTTTTTTTAACCTTAATTCAGCGTTTGACCTCTAGCTTGTCTGTGAAGCATCTTTGTTTGGAAGAATTCATCATTTTAAACACTGTTATTATAGGATTGGTGAGCAGGGTATGGTATGTACATTCTTTTGAAATATCTGAATATCTGATTTCATTGTTTGAACTTCCTTTCCCATTCTGCTGGGCAGATTATTGGCAGCCTTTATTATTGAGAGATAGAGTGGTTCAATGAGTTGTTTTTTTTTACCCCCATCAGAAAATGACAGTATAGGACAAGGCTGGTCATATGTTTCCTTTTTTATTTGATTTATTCTTTTGGCCACAGTTGAATAATAGTGAATTGATTATTAAGGTATAGTTCAAAAGAAAATCTTTGAATTTGAGGCACAGAGGTCAACCATAGAAGAGTTAACCTGTTTAGTTCAAACAACATGGCCTCTAATGGGGTCTTGGATTAGAGAGAGCTATTATGGAAGTTAACACACTCCCTATTTTAAATTACGCTGTTTCCTGTAAATTTACATTTTTTTTCCCCTAATAGCTTCCATATTTTTGAGTAGGTAATGAATGTTTAGCAAATTGTTTTAAATCCTACATGCTTGAGAGTGTTTCTGTGCACCTCAAATCCCTTTTGAAGCAAATTTTTTTCTAATTGGTATAAAGCTATGGAGTGTGTTAGAGAAGAAAAGAAATCTCTTTTTACATGTTTTACTTGAAGTGGCAATAATAACTTAAAGGATGGTGTTTTGCAGACTTAAGATTGTATAGGAATTGTATGTGTGTATGTATGTGTGTGTGTGTGTGTGTGTGTGTGTATACCACGTACATATACATACATACATACACATATGCACGTATATATAGTAGCTTAATGATGTAGTCTGCATTATCTTAACTACTTTATAATATTCTAGTTAACTCATGAATTTCTTTTTTTCCCCCCTAGGGTCTTGTATAAAGATGCTTTAAAAAAACTTGTCTCTTTATATAAGCCTTTGTTTAGATTGCTGCAAGAGGTATCCAGGATTCAACCAATGCCTTACTTCAAAAATTTTACCTTTCCTGCTGAGCTTAAAGAATTTTTAGGAGAAGCCTATCTTGATGTCATTAAGAAAAAGATGGAAACTAAAGGAGTAACAAAATTGCTAGACAAACTATTTCTAGCAGAAGAGAAATCTAACAAGCCTATTGAAGAAATAGACTTAGAAGTTCCCCCAAAAGCTAAACAAATGAAGATAAAGATGACAGATAATGTGGATATTGGGAAGGCAGTGCAGAAGAGGAAAATCTACAGAGGTAACTCATTTTTGTTTGGTTTTCCTCCTGTCTTTGTCTAACCTAGGCATTTGTTCTGGCTATAAATTTGGATTACCTAGGGGCAGCTAGGTGGAGCAGTGGATAGAGCACCAGTCTTGGAGTCAAGAGGACCTGAGTTCAAATCAGGCCTAGCTGTGTGACCCTAGGCAAGTTACTTGACCCCAATTACCTAAAAAAAAAAAAATAAATTGTATTACCTGGGACAGATTTTAGTATCTACATTCATCGCAATTCTAGAGTTGTTACCCGGAATACAAGACAGGTATCCCTAATGAGGCATAGTTATCTTTTTGCCTGTTTAGGGTAACAGGTAAATTTCTGAACTTGGGCATTTAGACTTTTATTTTGGCACTTTCTTTTAGGTTTTGTTAATCGCCTAATTAATGGTCAATTCCTTCATAGTTACTTTTAATAGTTTGGCAGGAAAGAGACTTTGAGAGTGAATTAGATTGTGAGGTTAGTGTTTATTTGGAAGAGAGTTTGTGCTTTATTAAATCAGCCTGTGTGATTTTTCCAATTCCACAGAAACATCATCAGGATTTGACCTGAAGGCCTTTTGCAAACGACCAAAGCACAAAGCTACCACGGTTTGTGTGTTTTAAAATTTATTATATATTAATAATAGTGTTTAACTGTAAATTTGAAATTATGAAAAAAGTTGGAATTTAATTTAATTATTTTAGGGAATATATCATTTAATCAATTAATTCAATTAAAAGGAGCACTTTAAATACATTTCAATATAAATATAATATTATATCTAATATGGAAATACGTTTTGCATCACTTCACATGTATAATTGATGTAATATTGCTTGCCTGGGGAGGGGAAGGGAAGAGAGAGAACTCAAGGGAAGAACTCAAAATTTAAAAAAAATGAATATTAAAGATAAATTTTAAAAACTTACATATAAAGATAAATATAATAGTTTTTCTTTTTTTCCTTTTTATCATTTATTTATTTTTAGCATTCTTTTCTTTTTAAATTTTGTGTTCCAGATTCTTTCCGTCCCTCCTACCCCTTTCATACCCACTGAGAAGGCATATAATATGATATAAATGATACATGTGAAATCATGCACAACATATTTCCATATTAGCCATATTGGAAAAAGAAAAAGAAAAGCAAAAAAAAAGGAAGAAAATAAGAAATTTTACTTCAGTTTGCATTCAGAATTCATAAGTTCTCTCTGGAGATAGATAGCATTTTTTCATCATGAGTCCTTAGGAATTGTCTTGGATCATTATATTCATCATTAACCACCCCCTTCATCTTTTTTTATAGTACAGTAGTACTCCATCATAATCACCTGACTCTGGCAATCCCAGTGTGGCCAGTGACCCTTCTCTTATAGAGTTTATGCTTTATTGACTGCCTTTGAAGGCTGCTCACCTCCTGTGATATTTGCATTTCTTATTCTTGCCTGTCCACCCTCCAGGACACCAACTTCAAACCTGTGTGTTCTGAAAGGAGAGTACGAAAAGCCATCAACTCATCCCAGCTGCTGGTAGGATCCTCTCATGCCAAAAACCTTGTACTGAGCATCCGAGAGGCACAGTCTTTTACACAACTTTCAGAAGAAATCCAAAGGGCCATTTTCTGGTGTAGACGAAAAAAACTGAAACATAAAGCCACCTTTCTGGGTAACAAACTTCTAAAAAGTAACCGGCTTAAACATGTGGAAGCTCAAGGTTGCAGGTAGGTTCATATTTAATATGCTATGCTTTTTGGGTTCAAGAAGTGAATGCTTTTTGCTTTTTCTGTGTGTTTTGCTACTTCTTACTTTACTTTTCACTCTCATCTTTAATTGATTTTTATTGATGATTTTTGTTTTTCCATTGCTTAGAGGTCCCCTGAATCCATTCTGTTCTCGTACAGTGGATAGAGGTGCTGGGTCTGGAATCAGGAAAACCTGAGTTCACATCCATTCTCAGACATTTACTAGCTGTATGACCATGGGCAAATCACTTAACTCCTGTTTGCCTTAGTTTCCTCATTTGTAAAATGGGGATAACAATAGCACCTACCTCTTAAGGTTTTTGTGAAGATCAAATTAGATAATAATTGTAAAGTGCTTAGCACAGTGCCTTGCACATAGTAAACTCTATATAAATGTCAGTTATTATTATTATTATTACCCATGTGAATCACCAATAATCATAATCCACTTTGGTAAGTTTGGGAGGTTCTCTGTTGTGTCATAGATCCTTCATTCCCCAGGGAGACAGCAGGACTCTCTGATGCGACATCAGGTTGACAGACAGCTGCCTTTGTATATTCAAGGTAGCTGGGAATCATCACCTACTCTGATTGAATTCTTCCTCTGACCGTTATTGGGGAATATGTCACCAGAAAACTTCTATGGCTCTGGTTTTGGAGGACCAGAAACATCTAGCTTCTTCCTTTTGAGGAGGAGCCTTGTACCTGTTTTTAAACTGTCCGGTTGTATTTGTCTTTGTGTAATACTTTCCTACCCTCTGATCCTCTGACAAAGAGTCAGGTCTCCCTCTCTCCATTTCATATCCCTTTTTTTCCTATTGAATCCTAACTATGTTTCCTTTAGGAACAGAAAACCTGTACTGTGGAAAGGCATTCTTTTTTTTTTTCTTTTTTTTTTTTAATTTTAAACTTTCAGTTTATGAAGAAAAGTATGAAAGAGACACCTACCTTTTTTGTCTAGCTCAGAGCTGAGAGCTAATCCATTTAAATACATTGTATTTCAAAATGTAAAAACCATTCTTAGCTTACCATAGTTTGTGGACCCTGCTAGAGACTATTGGCATTTTAAGAAGTCTGTAATAAATTTAGCAAGGTAATAACAATTTACTTGTGTCCCTTTCCACATTTCTGTTGGTGGATCTGTGAACTAGTTCAGTCATATTGGAAAACAGTTTGGAACTACACATACCCTAAGCATGTATCTGAAAGAGATCAAAAACAGAGGTAAAAGACCCACATGTTTAAAATATTTATATCTGGTATCAGAACTCAATATTTAACAGAAACTGCTGGGAAAACTGGAAAATAGTATGGCAGAAACTTGGCATAGGCCAACATCTTACACCCTATACCAAGATAAAATCAAAATGGATGCATGATTTAGATATAAAGGCTGATACTATTAAGCAAACTAGGAGAGCACGGAATAGCTTACCTGTCAGATCTATGGAGAAGGGAAGAATTTATGACCAAACAAGAAATAGAGAAAATCATGAAGTGCAAAGTGGATGATTTTGATTACATTAAATTGAAAAGGTTTGCACAAACAAAGCCAGTGCAACCAAGATTAGAAGGGAAGCAGAAAGCTGGAAACAATTTTTACAGCCAGTGTCTTTGATAAGGGCCTCATTCTAAAATCTATAGAGAACTGAGTTGAATTTATAAGAATGCAAGTCATTCCCCAATTGTAAATGGTCAAAGGATATGAATAAGCAGTTTTCAGAGGAAGAAATTAGAGCTATCTATTGTCATATGAAAAAAATGCTCTAAATCACTATTGATTAGAGAAATGCAAATCAAAACGACTCTGAGGTACCCCATCACGCCTATCAGATTGGTTAACATGACGGAACAGGAAAATGATAAATGTTGGAGAAGATGTGGGAAAATTGGAACACTAATGCATTGTTGGTGGAGTTGTGAACTGATCCAACCATTCTGGAGAGCAATTTGGAGCTATGCTCAAAGGGCTATAAAACTGTGCATACTTTTTTTTTATTCTTTTTTTTATTAATTTATTTTGATTTATCAACAATCACTTCCATAAACTTTTGAGTTTTAAATTTTTCTCCCTTCCCTTCCCACCTCCCTTCCTAAGACAGCACACAATCTGATATATGCTATACGTATACATTCCTATTAAACATATTTTCACATTAGTCATGTTGTAAGGAAGAGTTAGAAGCAATAGGAGGAACCACAAGAAAGAGAAAACAAAACAAAACAGAAGAAAAAAATAGCAAATAGTATGCTTCAATCTGCATTCAAACTCCATAGTTCTTTCTTTGGATGTGGATAGCATTTTCCATCATGAGGCCTTTGGAGATTTGCATTGCTGAGAAGGGCTAAGTCTATCAACGTTAGTCATCGCACAATGTGGCTATTACTGTGTACGACGTTCTTCTGGTTCTGCTCACTTTACTCAGCATCAGTCCATACAAGTCTTTCCAGGTTTTTCTGCCTCCTGTTCATCATATCTTATAGCACAATAGTATTCCATTACATTCATATACCACAACTTGTTCAGCCATTCCCCAATTGATGGGCATCCTCTCAATTTCCAATTCTTTGCCACCACAAAAAGAGCTGCTATAAATATTTGTGTACCTGTGGGTCCTTTTCCCATTTGTATGATCTCTTTGGGATATAGCCCTAGAAGTGGTATTGCTGGGTCAAAGGGTATGCACACTTCTAGGGCAGATCTTTTGGTGGTAGCAAAGAGTTGGAAATTGAGGGGATGTCCATCAGTTGGGGAATGGCTGAACCAGTTGTGGTATATGAAATGTAATGGAATACTATTGTGCTATAAGAAATGATGAGCAGGCAGACTTCAGAAAAACCTGGAAATACCTATATGGACTGATGCAGAGTGAAATGAGCAGAACCAGGAGAACATTGTACACTAACAGCCACATTGTGTGATGCCTGACTTTGATAGACTTAGCTCTTTCTCAGCAATACAAGGCTCTAAGACAATTCTAAAAGACTCTTGATGGAAAATGCTATCCTCATCCAGAAAAAATAATGACTGTGATGTGGAAGTAATAGTCTGAAAACAGAAATCTAGAGATCAAATCATAACTCATTCAGATCAGCAAACACTTATTGAAAGTGCCCACATTTGAGCAGCTGTGGGGCAGCTACATGGCACAGTAGGTAGAACACTGGCCCTGGAGTCCGGAGGACCTGAGTTCAAATCCTGCCTCAGACACTTACTAGCTTTGGGACTGGGCAAATCACTTAACCCTGATTGCCTCCTAAAAAACCACAACCAAACAAAGAAGTGCCTACATTGTCCTAAGTGCTAAGTATATTAAGATAAAAAATTATATAGTCCCTAAGCTCAATTATGTTCTTCTGAATTACGTTGTTTCTTTTCGTTTTTATATCATATTCATTTCCCACCTTCCTTGCCTACCCAGCGCCATCCCTTGTAAGGAGAAGAAAGGGAGAAAAAAAAAAAGTTCAGCAAAACAAGACAACACCTTAAGCGGGGACTCTCATTTTTATCTTCATCTTCCTTTAATCTCATATGGTGCTTTGCACAGACTAGGCACTTAGTGTTTGTGAAATTGAATTATATATTTTTATATTTTGTTAACAGAGGTGGAAAGAAGAGAGAAAAGAGAAAATGAGTGATTCTGATAGATTTTTCTCTAGCTAATAGGTTTTAAATTTTTCCTTTCTCTTTTAAAAGCTTGCCCAAGAAATTGAACTGCATAAAAACGTCTATCTGTAACTTGCTTCTCCATGACTTGGGTAACATGTCTTCAAAGCGCCACCTGAGACGAATCACTTCACAGAATAAATGTATAAAGCAGCAGAGGAAACCACAGAGAAAGCTGCAGCCCACTGTTCTGAAGGAAATTCAACAGCTTCTTCATCACACTGAGAAGGTTGTCACAGAGGGAGATGCCAAAAGAACATTCTCAGACCTTACAATTCATAGACCTGAACTGGCATCGAAAAAGAGCCGGCTGTTGGACAACAGAAATGCAAATCATATTGAAAATTGCAGTGGTGCAGTGAAGTCACCAACATTGACTCAAGTAAAGGAAAATAACACTACGTCAGAAACTGTCGGAGACATGGATGACATTGATGATATTTTTTCTTCATTGGGAGTTTAGTTGTACATATATGTGGAACTGCATTAGTTTATTAAGAAAGGAAGCAGCTCATAATTATGTCTGCTAGATGAGGTTCCATAGTGCTCCTCTAAGTGGTGGAAGTTCTACACTGTACCCAGAAGCAATGGAGGTATCTGCATTCATTCAGAATCATTCCCCAAGTCCCGCAAACTGACTTTGAGAGGCCTCAGGGCCCCCAAGAGCTTGGACTGTTTGATTTGTTTACCAAGGATTCTAGGTAGATTGGCTTTGAGGAAATGTGTATATTTTGCACCAAACTAGGTACCTAAAAAATCTGCCTTGGTCAGGACCCATACTCCTTGGCTGGCTCCAATGGAACCAGCATGTTTGCTGTGAAACTGGAAGATGGAGGTATCCAAAGGGTCATTGTTTGATTTACTGGCTTAATTATACTATAATGACATTGCCTCTTGTTATGTCTGTGGGACATCAAGATTTCCTGTTTTGGGTGATTGTGTTGTCCAGGTTTTATATGATATAAATAGAATTGATCACCAAGAAAAGTTAGTGTTACCACTGGTCTTATTACTGGGGCCAAATTAAATCAGTTTCCATTTTCCCATTTACTTAGGGTTAGGTGCTTTGAAATGCTTAATCTCTCCAATATATGGAGTTAGAATATGCTGTACTTATATCTCTGTTTTGTTTGAATAATAGCTTTTTTGGGGTATGAGCAGGGGGGATGGAGCATTTTATTTCTCTAAAAAATTGCAAAAATGTTAAGCCTCTATTTTTTAGATGAATCTTTTGGCTTTTTGGAATTAGGTAAAAGGGTCTCCAATTCTTTCAGCAGGCTGCATTCCACAGTTCAGCCATGGTTTTTGCCACTAGACTATGATGACTCTATAAGAGAGAGTGAGACTGTCTTCTGTGTGGCTCTGCCTTACTCAAATCCAGTTCCCACGCAAGTCAGGGTGTCACCTGTAATGTCATTGGTCCTCTTTGAAAACAAAAGACAAACAACAAGAAGAACCAGAGCGAAGGCATCCCATTTTGTACCTGAGGCAGTAAGGTGACCCAATAGATTTGGCGTTACAGAGGCTTGAGTTTGAATCCTGCCTCAAGTCTCCAACTAGCCTTTCAAACCTGAGCCAGTCAACCTGTCTGCTTTGGTTTCCTTGCTCACCTCTGGAATGGGGATAATAATAGCACCCACTTCCCAGGGTTGTTGAGGATCAAATGAAACAAGATTTGAAAAGTGCCTCCCAAACTTAATGTTTATTTTGACCTTTTCACCCACTTTTGCTATTTCGCACTCTAACCCAGGGGTTCTTAACTTTCTTTATGTCATAGCTTCATTTGGCAATCTGGTAAAGTCTAGGGACTCCTTCCTTCCCAGAAGAATGTTTTTAAATCCATAAGATAAAATACATAGGATTACAGAGGAAGCCAGTTATGTTGAAATACAGTTACCAATATAATAAAGTTCACAGATCCCAGGTTAAGAACTACTTATTGCTTTCATGTTGCTTTTCTTTGTTTCCTCTTTCATTTGCCTGCACCCTCTCTTCAGTTTCTTGTTCAAACAGTCAAGCTTTATCCAACAGTTCTATCAAAAATGAAGTGTAGGGGGCAGCTAGGTGGGTGCAGTGGATAGAGCACCGGCCCTGGAGTCAGGAGGACCTGAGTTCAAATCCAGTCTCGGACTAGAGACTTGATACTTACTAGCTGTCACTTAACCCCCAATTGCCTCACCAAAAAACAAAAACAAAAAAACAAAAAAAAGGTGTAATACCTTACATGTTTAGTATTTAATTACCATGGGCCAAGCCTCTATTAGGTGAGTCATTTACATTGTAGCTTTAGTAAGCAGTTAAAGACTATGAAAATGAACTAAAATCAACTTTACTAACCGAGCATTAAAGGGGCCTCTTTTAAAGTTAAAATATTAGAAAATGCAGGAAGTCAGGAAGCTAGGCCTATAGCAGTTGGAATTCAGGATTAACTTCTGCTGACATTAGCCACCATCCCCCTCCCCCAACCTCTCAGACTTTACTTCCCGCACCTTGCTGGCTAACAGCCTCCCCAACCCTAAAGAACCAATCACTGCGTGACATGGGAGCCGCTGCCTGGCTGTGGAGGGAGGGAGAGGGAGGCAGACTCCCTGCAGCTGCAGACACAGAGGTGGTGCCCCCATTCTCAACAGGGTGACCAATCTTTTACCACATCAAGGAATAAACTGTTTTGCATAAGGGACTTTTCTAGTTAAGTGAAGCGTTGGCTTTTTTTCCATTTTCACTCTTTGATGGGTCTCAAATACATGTACACTTCCCTTCCTTAGTAACAGCATCCAAAATATGACTTAACTTTCTCTTAATGATTCTATCCTTCCTAAATCAGTTACTGTAGAGTATTTGCTAAAGTAGCTGATATAGTTGGGTACCGATACCATGAGTTGAATTGGAAACTTTCTTTCTTAAGAAGCCAGCCAATGTGCTTTTACTTCTTTTGTCTCTCTCATGATAAAGGCTATTCGGCTATGACCCTGTGATATGATTGCCTTTCTGAAAAATTACTGGCTTAAAGACTAGAAGCAGCCCACTCGCAAGCAGTTTTCTTTTTTTCTTTTTTTTTGGCTAGGCAATGGGGTTAAGTGACTTGCCCAGGGTCACACAGCTAATAGGTATCAAGTGTCTGAGGCCAGATCTGAACTCAGGTCCTCCTGACTCCAAGGCTGGAGCTCTATCCACCGTGCCACCTAGCTGCCTCCAGTTTTCTTGTCCTATAGAAAAGAAGCATTGATGGCCTTTGTCAGTAGTATTCAAGTCATTTCATCACTAAAATACATCCCTTCATCTCCCTTCACTATCGCAGGATTGATGGGGTTTTTTGGCAGTGTGTCCCTTTGCCCTTTGAAGAATTTGTGTTTGTGTATTAGGGGGAAGGTCTACCACCCCAATTCCAAATCTTCATTACTATAAGCTAGATCACCTCCAGGGTCCCTTCCAGATTTAAGCCTATGAGGCTATATCAGTGGAAGGGACCTGATCATTTCAACTAAAGTTCTCATCTTGCAGATGAGGAAAATTGAGACCCAAACAATTGGAGGTGGCTAGGTGGTACAGTGGATAGAGTGCTGGGTCTGGAGTCAGGAAGAACAGAGTTCAAATCCATCCTCATATCCTTCCTAGCTTCATGATCTTGGGCAAGTTACTTACACCTCTGCCTCAGTTTCCTCAACTGCAAAATGGGGATAATAATTGCACCTACCTTCCAGGGTTGTGAGGCTCACATGACATATTTGTGAAATGCTTAGCACAGTGCCTCGCATATAGTAGGTGCTTAAAAATAAACATTTATTTCCTTCCTTCAAAACAGGTTAAATGACACTGAATTTACTGGTTGCAGAGCTAGGACTATTCTTGACTCCCCAACATGTTGTCCCATATGATACATGGTGAATCCATTTTTTTCCCTACAAAGTCACTTTTTATTAATTTATGTTGAGTAAGGCCCTGGCTCATGAATTTAGTTAGTGGCAATATTGGCAGAGAGAAATATGACAAATATATTAAGAGACACTAACCCAGGCTTTTCTGAATACACAGACGACTAGCAATATTAGAGCTTTATGTTGAGGTAAATCTATGTTTCTTTGAGAAGGTACAGAAAAACAACAGAACCACTGAGGGAAAAAATTATCAATGTGCTAATCAGCTTCAAAAGAACAGGTAAAAGTGTGACATTTGGAAACTAGCTCCAGTCACCAAAGGTTTTTATTTTGGGGTGGCCTGCATCATTATTGGGTACATACACAATCACACACCCCTCCCCCTACATGCAGCTAATTCTTTTTTTTTTAATCAGTTTTTTCCCAATTAACAAAAATCAGTTTGCTCTTCCTCCATCCTCCTAATCCAAAACAAAAACCTTGTAACAACCATGTATAGTCAAGCAAAAAAAAAAAAAAAATCCCTGCACTGGCCATGTGTCCAAAAATGTTTCCTTCTGCATCTTCAATCCATTCACCCCTGTTAAGAGGTAGGCAGCACGCTTCATCATTTGTCTTCTAAAATCATGGTTGGTCAATGTATCATTCAAAGTTGTCAAAAGATTTTTACTGTTTAAAACTGCTAATATTTGACTCCCTGCGCCTCTAAAGGTGTTATTAATCAAGATTCGCAAAAATGGGCCTATTTCATCAACGTAAATTTGTTTAACATTGATATTCTCTGCCTCTCACTGTTGACCATTAAAGAAATGAGTTCTGAAAAAGTCAGTTTCATAACTTTATAGTTTGATTTTCATCAACTACATCTAGACCTTTAAGCGGTTTCTCACTTTGAAATGCTAAACATAATTCAGACCACCGTAAGAACAACTTGTCCTTCTCGTTAGCATTGGGCCAAAAAAAGATATACTCTGGCTTTTTAATAAGAACTAGTTATGAGAAATGGTCTAGGTGCTGTAATTTGTCATTTGCACAATTGTCATGGTGCAGCTGTTTTGAGTTGCATGGGCTGTGCATGAGATTGATTCTCTTTTCCAAGTTTTCATGTCACAGAACATAGAGCTAAACTAACAGTTTTGATTCAAAAATTTGTATTTGCTTTTTTCAAGTATATTCAATACATAAATCAAAATAAATTAATAAAAAAATTTTTTTTATCAGTAATCACTTCCATAAGCTTTTGAGTTTTAAATTTTTCTCCCCCTCCCTTCCTGCCTCCCTCTCCAAAATGGCACACAAGCTGATATAGGCTATACATATACATTCCTATTAAACATATTTTCACATTAGTGATGTTGTAAGAATTAGAACCAATAGGAGGAACCACACGAAAGAAAAAACAAAACAAAACAGAAGAAAAAAATAGCAAACAATATGCTTCGATCTGCATTCAAACTCCATAGTTCTTTCTTTGACTGTGGATAGCATTTTCCATCACGAGACTTTGAGATGTCTTAGATCCTTGCATTGCTGAGAAGGGCTGAGTCTATCGACGTTAGTCATCACTCTCAACCCCATCTTTTCTTTTTTAAAGTTAATGAAACTTTCTTAACTCGTCTTTTTGCCTTTCACAAGATGGTGTGGAAACTGTAACATCAGATGGCTTCACTGTTGGATTTAATTTTGTTCTGTAATGGCTCAGCTTGCTAGACTACTCCAGTAAATACTTCCCAGCAGTTTGCTGGAAGGCCCCAAATTTTATTGAAAATCTTATTGTATTAAAATACAGTTAGCACAGACATGATAAAGTACAAGCATATCAGTATATACCCTAACAGGTATGCTGCTTTTAAAAAGCAAACCCTTTTGAACAACTCTGCTTTGTAGTATTTCGAAGTATGGTGTGTAACGGAAAATGTGTTTAAGCAAATAAGACCAATGAATCCATTGTGTTCTCAAAGGATGTACCACAAAACTCTCTACACCTTGAGACTTGCTTCCCCAGTTTCTACCCGCACCCATAGCTGCAGGCCTGGTATTGGGGAGGTCAGGACAGCTTCAACCATGGAGATGCAAAGCTGCTTACTCTGTTATAAGTTCTAGAGAAGTAAATGGGGGGCGGGTGGAGGGGGTGATGAGAGGAGTGAAGGAATCCCAAATGCCTAGAGGGAGGCCCTACTATCTGGGAGCCCTTCTTTGTTGTCAGCTTAATCAACGTGCTATGATTTCTCATGACACAGAATATTGAGCCATGAGCAAAACAAGTTAAAATTTCAGCTTGTTAAAGGGATAATAACTTTTCAAAATAATTGTTCTGAATTGAACAGCAAGATTAGATCCATTAAAGCCACTTCTCAGGCATTAAAACTGGGGCAGAGATTACTCTGGGAAGATGCAAATGGTCCTCCTGCTGTGTTAAAGATAGACAACATCTAAAACAATGCTGATGTTCTGGATGACACAGCCAGCCTTTGAATCTTTAGCTAACCTATGAGCTATTGATGTGAAGGTTTCCTGTTATATAGGTTATAAAGCACCTCAACAGATGGATTCCAGAGTACGTTACAGAACTGTGAAAAGAAAAAAAAAGAACAGCTTGATGTTTTTTTTTTCTCTGAGTAATATCAACATGAATTTATTTAAACTTTTGAAATTGCTTTTCTGGCCTATATCACCTCTTGGGAGTTCCATTTGTGAAACAGTGATTATTTTTCACAAATGTCTCTCTAAAACTTTAGAGGATACCCCTTAGTTCTGCAATCCTGGGATGTACTGAACAATTAACCAAAAGTATTTATTAAACACCTACTATGTGCCTAGAACTGTGTGAGTCAGTGGGGATACAAATACAAGGTATGAAACCCTCCCTATTTGCAAGCATCTTAAATCCTCATGGTGGAGACAAATATCTATAAAAATGCAGACAGCATAAACCTGAAGTGAATAAATCCAAACACAAGATAGTTTGAGAGGGCAGGCACGAGCAGCTGGGTGGTAGGGGTGAGACTCTGAAAGGGCTTTGTCCGGAATATAGGACTAGCTCTTCTTATGTTATCTTAGCAGCCACTAAAAGGATTTGGAGACACTTCAGGCTAGATTTTTGACTCTGTTTTTTAAAGGGAGTTTTTCCACTCTGAATAGCTAAATCTATTTTTGCTGATCTCCACTTGATTGCACTCTGAATAGCTAAATCTGTCCTTGCTTATCTCCACTTGATTTCCAGCCTTCCTTTTTCTGGGTCGTATTTCTTTAGTTTGTACTCTTAGAGGAGCGGCACATCAAGCTTTCAGTCATTTCGGTTGCCCAATCAGAATGGCATAGAGTAAGTACTTCAGATACATACACCATGGATTTTTACAGACATAAAATGTGCAGTATCTTAAATCACAATTATCACAATGATTCCCAGGTCATAACTAAGCTTGGGTCCCATCATCCTGTAACTATAGCTTGGATTATTTCTTTATCGTCTTCAGTAGCATACTTTGAATTTGTCCAAACCACTCTGCTGCTAACTCACAACTTCCTGAGATCTTCCTGTCAACCTTGATCTTAACATCAACAGTAAATAGGGAATCCTCGGAGAACACTTACACATAAAAATTTAAATCTGACCTAGACTGGCATGTACAGAATTGTTTCTAAATTGGTGTCTTGCTTTGCCTATTACCAATGAATAGGCCTCCTGAAAGAGGCCTTTTCTTTTTAGGGCTTAAAGGCTATTAATGTCATCCTTCTAAAAAATCTTAGTGACTAATTTAGTGTTAAGGGTAGGATGAAGAAGTATCAAAAGAAGAAAAACCACTACCCGAGTGAAAGGCAAGGGAATGATCACTTTTGGTCCCTCGACACCTGCTCAGCCACCTTTCCCCTCTGATTGGATGGCAGAGCAGTGAACTCCTTTGAAAGCTTCCCTTCATAGAGGGTTCATAATCAATTCTTTCTTTTTCATCGGCTGCTTTGTTTGGTTTTAAATCTACATCGTGCCCCTGAACTGAGTACCCTCTGGCAGCCCCCCCAATCCCTTTTTCAGCTTCTTTTTGTACATTGTCTTCCCCCATCAGAATGTAAACTCCTTCAACGCACAGGGACTGTCTGTTTCTTATTCGTATCACTGGTGCTCAGCACAGTGCCTGGCACATAGAAGATACTTAATAAATGGTTAATGACTGAAAAGAACCAAAGTGGAGGGCAGAATGCCCACAGGGTCTCTGGTGCTACAGGTTTCCTATCCCTGCAGGAGTGGCAGGTGAAATGAAGGTTTACTCAAGGTGATGATGAAAGAAGAATCTGATGTTCAAGGTCCATGTTTTTGCCACTAAACTAGATAGATTAGATAGATTAGACAGACAGACAGACAGACAGACAGATAGATAGATAGCTTTTCAGCTCCCTTTTCTGTGGGGTCTTCCTGTCAGAACAGAAGCTTCTTAAGGGCAGGACCAGCTCTCTTTTTTACTTGTATTTATAGACCCAGAACTCAGTACACTGCTTAGCCATAGAAAATGCTTAATAAACACCTTGTTGCTTGGCCTGCATTACTATCCCTCCATCTCTGCTACAGTTAAACCGGCCTACATCTGCTGTTTTCCATATAGGACATGCCCGCTCTGGCTTCCTTCACAGCCTGTCCTGTAATGCCTGCCCTGCTCCTCTCCTAATCTTAGAACCATAACACCCTCCAGCCTCAGACCAAGTGCCGCTTCCTTCTGGATTTCCTGATCTGTTGCCTCCCTTCTTTGCCCTCTACCTTAAGATCACTTTGTACTTTGTATATAGGTGATCTATCAGGGAACCTGTTCTATCCCCCCCCACCCCCACCATTAAAATTTAAACTCTCTGAGGGCAGGGAGCGTTTTTACTTTGGTTTTTGTATTCCCAGTACGTAGATTAGTTCTTGGCACATATTAGGTACTTAATAAATGCTCTATCAATAGAAATTCTCAACTTGAGAAATAATAATTATCTCTGCCTCACTGGAATAATCAGTGGTTAAATCAGTCCTAGCAATAAATAATACTTCTTTATAGACAGCAAGCCTTTTTTTTAATGTTCTATCACTCCACCAAAGAATAGAACAGCATTTCCTGATGTTCAAAAAGGCATTAATCTTCTCTCCATTTCAGAAAATGTGGGGTCCAGACTTAAACTGTGACCTTTTGTTAGAAGTGACCAGAAAGGTGAGTTGGAACAAACAGGGTCAGAATAAAGGGACAGTGAAGGGCTGTTATGGTAACAAGCAGATAAAGAAGAAAGAAAAGGAAAAGCAAGAAGTGGGTAAGAAAAGGCTGCTGAAGGTGCTGACGGACTAAAGATGATGGACTAGAAAGTCCTGCTCACCTGCATCGTTTACCAGCCACCTCCAAGTCTCACTGATCCTGCCCCATTTCAGCTAATCCTTCCTTAACAGCAGAATTGTTTTTTAATTTATTTTTAGTGTTCAATTTAAAAAAATTTCTGAGTTCCAAATTCTCTTCCTCTCCTGCCCTTACCCCCACCTATTGAAATGTCAAGCAATATGATATCAATGATGTGTAACACCAGAATTTCTTAAAAGTCAATGACAGTAATTCCACTTACCTGACTGGAAACAGCTGAGGAAAGCATCCCTGGGTATGAGTGTCAACAAATTCCTGGATCTGCAGAACTTGTTTTGCAAGATAACCTTTGGAAGCTTTGTCAATTTTTGTTAACACCATCTATAGAAATTCATTTCAAAGAGGAGAGTGAATGAGGGTTGGAAAAAATTTAAGTGAATCAGTATGTGATTGAAAACAATACAATGCTAACAATAACTCATGCTCACATAGCACTTTCTGATGAGGCTGACTTTTGCCCAGCAATGATGAGAACCTTGCCTAAATCTAAATCTGCCCAGTAACAGGGGGCTCTATCTGTTGACAAGAAAACCTTATTATTTTCTGTGTACATGGCTGACCCCTATGGTTTGTGCCCATATCCTTGAATGTTGCAAGTTAAGTTCCCTGTTTTGTGACCACATCCCTGAACTGTTTTGTAAAGTACCCAACCCACCTGCTTCCCCCTTCCTGACATCCTTCCCTGTGGTTAACTGCCCACGTAGGAGCATACCCCAGCCCCTAGCTGAGTGCCCCAAACTTGGGTATATTAGCAAGCCCCTGTCTTATCTCAAACTGCTAGTGCTCCTAAGGCTTAGCCTGCTGCTTTGGCATCAATAAAGCCCTCTTGACTAGGAGAACCTCTGCTCCCTGAATTCTTTCCGGATAACCCGACTCTGAACATCATCGACTTCATCATTTTCTTTACGAAGACCCTCAGGTAGATACTGCAAATATTATTAGTCCCATTTTACAAACAAGAAAATCATTGCAGACAGATCAATTGCCTAAGGTCCCGTAGCTATTAAGTGTCAGATTTTGAATATCAGTATATCTACTTTTATTGGGAATTATTTCTAGATCCTCTAGGCATTTTGGCCCACTAGAGACTGTTCCTACTGTCTATTTCCCTGGGGGCTTATTCTTAAGGAAAAAAAAAAGATACAGTGGAATTCAAAATGAGTAGAATGTTAGAATTGCAGTTGAAATTGAGGAAGAACCATGATTTTATAAACATCTGTGCTTTCCATACTAAGGATTTTAAATATTTTATATAAATCAAATTCTTATCACATATGGCTATTTAAAAAAAATTAACTAAAGGATTATTCACTGATTTTGCTATGTGAGGCAAAAAACACTGACAACTATCTTTTTTATATTCAGTAAAGTTGCATGTTTCATTAAAAAAAAAAAAAAGGAAGGGGCTGGGACCCATATGAACAAAAGTATTTATCGCAGCTTTTTTTGTGATGGCCAAAAATTGGAAACTGAGGGGATGCCCATCAATTGAGGAGTGGCTGAATAAGTTGTGGTATATGAATGTGATAGAATACTATTATGCTGTACACAATGATGAAGAGGATAGTTTCAGAAAAACCTGGGAAGATTTATATGAACTGATGCAAAGTGAAGTGGGCAGAAGCAGGAGAACAATGTACATACATAGTAATAACAATATCATAAAATAATCATAATCAACTGTGAAAGACTTAGTAACTCTGATCAATACAATGATCTACCACAATTCCAAAGGACTCATGAAGAAAAATGCTCTCCACTTCCATACAGAGAACTGATGGACTCAGAGTGCAGACTGGAGCATATTTTTCCCTTTATTTTTCTTGCTTTTTTTCTTCCAGAATATAGCTAATGCAGAAATATATTTTACATGACTTCATATGTATAATGAGTATCATAAATCATGCATTCTAAAGATATATGAGGAAGGCTTGTGGGAGGAAGAAAATTTGGAACTGAACAACAAAATTTTAAAAAAATGAAGGATGCTATATTTCCCTCAATCACATACCATAATTTTCATGAAATTCTTTGGTAAACTTTTCATGATTTTCTTGTACATCTCTAAATTTCTTTGAGACTAAATTGTAGTAGGATGTGGGGGGAAGTTAGAACATTATGGCTGTGACTAGTAGTAAGGTGCATTCTTTATTTACCTTAGCTGGACAGTGAGATTCGAAGCTCTCGTCCAGAAAGTTGGCATGTAAAATTTACAAAAACATCAACTCTTCTATGATTTATCTGTTGTGTATATGTCTTTACTGGGAGCAAGAGGGTAGGTGAGGCAGGAATTATTCCCACTTTCCTCTAGGCATTTTGGCCCTTTAGAGACTATTCCTGACGAGATTTGGGGGTGCTGGGACTCCGAGAATGCCAATGCAGAGTTTCCTGCAATGAATTCACACACCTAAACCTTTTCTTTAGTCAGGTGGCAAAAAGATTATGGTAACGCTTTAGCAGAAGTGGGGCAAGGGTCCTTAAGGAACCTGTGAGAGAGTGACGATGGGGCTGGGGCTTATATGGAAGAGAGGCACGGGAAAGGAATGCCAGGGATGCTGATTAGGTAATCTAGGGGTCCAGGTGTCTTTGGGAGCTAGGATGGGAAAGTGTAGGTAGTATACCAGATGCTGAGTCAGAGGCATGGACCTTGGGCATCTGGCAAGAGGCGCAGTCCTTGGCCCAGGCAACCCTCTGTCTGTTCTGATAAAAGAATGTATTCTGCAGCAAGAGAAAATTTTCACATAGGACAGGGGCCTACTGAGAAACTGGGGGGCTTCCAGAGACATGATCTTAGAGCTGGGGCCCAAGCACCCCATCATTCCCACTGCTTCTCTACCTAGGGGTTATTAAAAAAAAGTCCTTGAAAAATAGTCCTTTTAGGGTTGGTAACAATCAAAAAGGATTTTATTTTGTCCAGGAATTCAGCATGTATGATCTGGAACTTGTTATATACTATGTTTCAAGAAGGTAAATCTGAATGCAGGTTGTGCAAAAAATATAGCTGGAATCACTGTGATAAGGATCAACCAAGGAGCTTTTGTTTTGCATGAAAAATAGTTATGAATCTTTTCTTTAGACACATGTTCACAGTATGTGTGTGTGTGCGCGCGTGTGTGTGTGTGTGTGTGTGTTTTAAGTGCCTATGAAAAATAGATGAATCAGGGCATCATGTTAGTTTGGGTACGGTTTTAATATCAAAAGATTCAGGCAAGAAGGAGAGAAAAAGAGCAAGCATCGTAGGTCGTTTTTTAAAAAGATTTAACAGAAATTTTACCTCATCTTCTCAGTACATTTACCCAGAGGCATAAACCTATCTGCCCTGAGACATTTTAACATTTGTGAATGCAAGCAGGATGCAAAATAACTTGGTTATCACTTACCACATAGGGTAATGCAAATTCTTCACACATTTCTATAGCAATACTGTCTGCTTTTTGAATTCCAACAACACTATCTATCAACAGAAATGTTCTAGTCAAACTGTAAGAATCAGAATGGAACAAAGATTACTAAAATGACCCTTTCAATAGATATATCTCCCCTGTTCTCTTCACAAACTCCCACTTTTTGACTCAACAAGCACATTTTTTCTTTGGGATGTTCTTAAATCATTCTCAGGCCATGGTCATTTGAGAATTCTCAAAACCAAAAATACCATTTCACCAGGAAATTCAGTCTATGGCCCCAAAGGTGCTGTTGTTTAGCACTGGGGTGGGGAACCTACAGTCTTAAGGCCACATGTGGCCTTCTAAGTCCTTAAGTGTGGCCTTTTGACTGAATTCAGATTTTACAGAAAAATTCTGAAGCCATGAGGCCCCATGTGGCCTTCTAAATCCTTTAAAGATTTGTTCTGTAAAATTTGGATTCAGTCAAAAGGCCGCACTTAAGGATTCAGAAGGCCACTTATGGCCTTAAGGCCGCAGGTTCCCCACCTCTGGGTTAACACATACATACTTTTGAATAACTTTACTCTAATCAATAGAAAGCCACTGAACACTATAACATTGAGGATTAAAGACGTTAACACCTATCAAATGCTTACAGAAATCCTGTTATATACCTTATCATTTCAAATGAATACATGTGATAACAGGAGCTAGTAAATATATGAAATATGACCAAATTTCTAAGTTGTATGTAGTCTTAGCTCAGAAACTTGGTTATTATACATAATAATAGCTAACATTTATACAGTACTTATCCATTGTAACATTTATACAGTATTTATACAGGTTGGTAGAGAGTTCTCCACATATTATTCGTTCTTCACAGCCCCATGAGGTAGATACTATTATTATAGATGAGAAAACTGAGGCTAAAAGGTTAAGGTCACACAGCTATAGTGTGTCTGAGGCAGGATTTGAAATCAGGTCATCTTGACTCTTAAGTCCAACACTTGATCCATTATCCTCTGAGCTGCCTCACAGATAAAGAAGCACTGGATTTCCAGCTTACTGTTCAAAAAGCAAACATTTGGAAATAGTACCACACATCTCATCAATACAATAGTGGTATGTACACAAAATGTATAGCCTTTGAAGCAGCCAACTATATTCTGAATGCCTCTCAGAAACTCAAGAAAGAACCCTCCCAGAAATGTTACTGAGGTTTCTTTCCATGTGGCAAGAACTATATTAAATATTTTATCTTTTTCTGAATTTATCAAGTTTGGTTATGATAATATTAAAAAATAAATCTAAATAAGAAAAGCAAACCAAGCTGAAATATTTCTAGACTTAAGAAAGTACTTAGAAGAATTAATTATCCTCACCTACAAACTGAAGCCAATCATGGAATATTTTGGTCCAAAATAGTATTTTAGAAAATTACAAGTAGGCCAAAAAAAAAAAGATTTTACAAATGTCTGTTGGTAACATAACTTTTTAATCTCTCAGGGACTGAAAGACATGACTTAACTTTAAAATGTTATTTTACTACTATGAACTATGAGCTGTGTAGATTGTTAAGAAGTTTCTCCTTACTTTGGCCGTTCTTTCAGATAAGCTTCTACCATGTCAACAAAATCCTTAGGTGCTTTAAAACCATAACCTGGCATGTCTACCAATGTAAAATATTTTCCAACTTGGAAAAAGTTCATTTTCTTTGTGTGTCCCTGTTAAAGCAAATGGGAAAATGATAGATTAAAAAAAATTCAAAATCAAAATGTCTACTTGATCTGAATATTAAAGATCCTACTCTGTCAGGGATAATAGAAGTAGAATAAGAATCCAGAATCCCTGACACCCATTTCAGTCATTTCTGCATTACATTAAGGTGACTCTCAGAAATCCTCTCTTTTATCCATCTCAATGACCAGCAATGGGGCTGAAGGAGCTATGTTACAGCAGAGAAGGAAAGAATCAGGGTCCCATGGCAATTTCCTATTTTTCATCTGGCTCTGTAGATGACCAGATAGGTAGGAGAAAGAAAGATTGGTGGAAGGGTTCTTTGGGAATAGTTGGATAAGATTTTCTCTTACCCTTACTAGCAATGGGCACAGGAGTGAGGTAGTAAGAATCAGGGGACTGGGGCTGAGTTTCGTAGGGATGAGAGAAGAGAGTTGGTGAGGGCAGAGTTATGGGCAAAGGTGTCTGCTCTGATGTAGGGGAAAGAAATTCCCATTGGTATCAGGAAGGAAAGTTCATGTGTTAACTTCATTTGTTGTAGTTGTTGAGTTGTTTCAGTTACATCTGATTCTTCGTGACCCCATTTGGGATTTTCTTGGCCAACATACTGGAGTGGTTTGCCATTTCCTTCTTCAGCTCATTTTACAGATGAGGAAGCTGAGGCAAGCACAGTTTAATGACTTGCCCGGGGTCACAAAACTAGTAAGTGTTTGACGCCAGATTTGAACTTGCAAAGAGGAGTCTTCCTGACTTCAAGCCCAGCACTCTATCCACTATACCATCTAGCTGCCCTGTTAACATCATAAAGGTGGCTACTAACACTAGAGAGGTATAAAATAAGGTTGGGAACTGTCTGTACTTATGTGTATATGTATAGAAAAGTTGGTAAGGTACAACTGAGATTAAGAAATGAAAGAGTATGTGAAACCAGAGGCCCTGAAATAGATGCGAAACCATAAGTGGACTTTTCCTAGAAAAGAAAATAAAGGATGTCCACAGGAAGAAAAAGTGAAATAAAAGAAAAAAATTACCTTGTTTTGCAAAGGCATAAAACTGTTGTTAAACATACTAAAAAGTAAATCTGCCTTTCTTAAATAATTAAAGCATGAAAATGCCATTCTTTCCCTGCCTGACCTAAGTTACTTGCCTGGAGAGAGTTACGTCATGTCACAAAGGAATGGCAGCTACCATCAAAGTATATAGCCCTTGGAAACTTAAGAGAAAAAGGTTTTTTTGCATCCTCCCACCCATTACCATTCACTTTACAAAATACAGATATGTTCTGTTCAGCTTTAAATATTTTAAACATACCGGCTTTTTTGAAACTCTGACTTCAACCTCAGGGGCCAGGGAAAATAAAGCCTTTATTAGGGATGATTTTCCAACGTTGCTTCTTCCTATAAAGCAGACCTTACAGAAAAGAGAATTAATAAAATAACAATATGAAACCTGAGTATTTTTTTTCCTCAGTTACAAACCTCTGTAAAGACTACTGTAGAGACTACTCTCCTACTCCCAGACTCAGGGAATGAGAAACTTAAATTTAGCTGAACATACTGGAAAAGAAAAAAAAAATTCCTAATACTCAAGAATACATGAGCTCTCTACTACAGGTAAAAAGAAGTGTTTGGAAATTGCAGCTTTGTAGCATTTTTGGTACATTCCAAATGTGTCCCTAATATACAAAACAGATTATTTGAATTCAAAATATTTACTGAGCATTCTCTAGGTGCAAGGTGCTGCACGTTTCAAGAAAATTGTCTCTTAAAAAAAAAAGCAAACAGCATCCCCTGAGTACTATTTTCTCACCTACTCCTCTGGTTGCTTTAGTATTTAATAACCCCTGCATGTAAGTTAGAATCTGAAACTATTTGTAAAACCATTTCCTGCAGGGCAGGATCACAGATCTAATAGCTGGGATAGCTATTCAACCCTTTCATTTTACAGACAAGGACACTCAGGCTCTTGGAGATTCAGGGATTTGTTCAAGGTACCATATCCCAAAGATACTGCGGCCGTGATGCCTTCCCCAGTGATATTAAACCCCAGTGATAAAGGCTTTGTCAGCTGAGTCAGTTCAGGCATTGCTAAATTAATCAGAAAATACAGCATGCATTGGCTTTCAAGGCTTAGGAATGGTGTGCTCCTACTCCACCATGGATAACGCCAATCAAAATGTGAAGCATTCATGTAATTGTCTCAAAGAGCAAAATGCTTCATTCTCATTGACTTTCGGTCAGACAGTAGGCCAGCAAAGTTTTTATTGGAGTTCTTTCAGTGTTTGAATTTAAATATAGGCTTGACTGCTTTAAAAAATGTATAACCAGTGCATGAGGGAGCTAGGCACATTTTCTCCTTCCCTGCCCCGACCCCAACTGCCCAGTTACAGCCAAAGCAGAATGTGATTGTCCCCCCTCCCTGCTCCTGCTGGAGGTGATGCACTCTCGCCTGGGCCCACCACCCCCTTTCCAATAATCACTGGTCAATGACGTGGTCTTCCTGAAGTCCACCTGGGCTTACGATCTTCCCCTGGGAACTGCTCTCCCATCTGCCACTGCCCCCAAGGACTCCTTGGCTCTCTCCTCTGTAAAGGAACCCTTTCCACCTGCCCTGCAGCTGAATACCCTTGTAAGCATGTGTTACCCCCCTAATTAGAACGTGAGCCCCTGGAGATCAGGACTGTCTCTCTTCATTTGCATCCCTGGTGCTTAGCACAGAGATAAGCACATCGTAAGCATTTGATAAATGTTTTCCCATCCCCTTCCATGTAAGAACTGACTCATTATTATCACTAATGGAGGAGAAGCCAGTGAACCAACTAGTGGAGAGTTACAAACAAACCCTAACATCTGACCATACAAATCTTTATGTTTTTAATAGTAGAATTACTTTATAACACAGATGATAAATTTAGATAAACTGTGAGTTAGGACATGTCTCCCAAAACATGATTTTATCTAAGTGGCATGGTGGATAGAGTGCTAGGCCTGGAATCACAAATACCTGTGTTCAAATCTGGGCTCAGATATGCACCACCTGTGTCATTTTGGCCAAGTCACATAACTGCTCTCTGCCTCAGTTTCCTTATCTGTAAAATGGGGATAACAGTAGCACCTACCTCCCAGGGTTGCTGTGAGATCAAATGAGATAATATTTGTACAGCATCAAGCACGGTGCCTGGCACACTGGGGATGCTATTTGAATGCTACCCAGTGTTGTCCTAGTTCTCAACATTAGCAGGTATTTTGAATGAAGAACACTGATTTAAATGATAAGGATTAGATCAAAAAACACAGAGGCAGAGTATCATATTGAAACGGCTGCTGCGTTTGGAGTCTGAAGGCCTTACTATTGATCAGTTCAACCACTTGCTTTCCTGTTTACTGTCGATGTGACCATGGGCAAGTTACTTCTCTGGGCTTCAGCTTTCTAAATGGTCACTAAGGTTCCTTCCAGCTTTCAATCTATGATCTTATGATCCTATGAAGAACTGATACATTATTACATTAAAGGAAATTATGAGACAACAGATGAAAATTTGTGAGATACTTATAAAATTATCCTCAAAGGAAAATTCCTATCTCTGAACACTGAAATTAACAAAAGAGGGAATGACAACTCTAAATGAATTGTGTATGGAGCTAAAAAAGCAAATAGGAAATCACCAACTTAAAAATCCCAAACAAGCACAAAAGTAGAATTTTGAGAATCAAAATAAATAAATAAATAAAATAGAAAACAGAGACTACTGAGTTTTTACATAAAGTACTATTTTCTAACAAGACCAATAAAACTAATAACATTCATTTTATCAAATAAAAGAGATGAGGGAGTGGGATAGTTATTAGTATACTTTGAAAAGAAAAAAAATAGAGTATCAGTGAATGATTTGAAAATAAGGAGAAGCTGACAGAAGAAATTTTGGAAGGGAGCAGAGACAAGTAGGGTGGTGTTAGAAGTGGCACATAAATTTAAAATATACAATAAAAAGGAAGGTGCACATAATAAAAATTCACAGCGTTCTATGCAGACCTCTTTTTTTTTGTCCTTTGTACGGGGAGATACTGATATTTGTCGATTTTTATCAAGTTCATAATAATAAAAAGAAAAATTAAAATAGAACAAAAGTCAAGTGTCAAAATTAATGAGAATTCACAATGGAAAGGAAATAAAAGTAAAAACTATTATAGCCAATCATATGCTCCCAAACTTCCCTGCAAACAAATGAAAGAGATGAGTATTTTTAAAAAATACAAAATACCCAGATTAATAAAACAGGACATCCAGTTTCTATAATCCAATTATAAATGAACTCAAAAGGGGGGGGGGGGGGGGGGGAGGGCTGGACTGCAAAGTACTGGAAGGGAAGTAATGTGCAATGAGTCTGGAAAGGAACACAGAACATGAATGAAGAGTGATAAGAAAAAAAAGTCTGGCAAAAATGTCAGGAGTCAGGTTGTCCATCTGGGTTTATATAGTTTAGCCTAGAAGCAATAGAGAGCCACTTAAGATTGCTGAGCAGTGGGGAGATGTGACCAGACCTGTACTTCACAAAGATTATTATTATTTTTTTTTTTTAGTTTTTAGGCAATTGGGGTTAAGTGACTTGCCCAGGATCACACAGCTAGTGTCAAGTGTTGGTCTGAGGGCGAATTTTAACTCGGGTCCTCCTGACTTAAGGGCCGGTGCTCTATCCACTGCATCACCTAGCTGCCCTGACAAAGATTATTTTAGAAGCTGCGTGGACGATGGTTTGAAAGTCTGGAAGCATGATCACAAAAACCAGGCTGTGTCAGGCTTTAAAAGCTAAATACTGTCTTAAGAACGGCTTTGTAAGAACGGCGAGTAAGTTATTTTTGTCTATTACAGATATCCAAAGAAAGAACTGACGGAGGTATGTCTAGCCCCTCTCTGGGGCATTCACTAGGGGTGCGACCCCAGAGGGGCCTTCAGACCCAGGCCCCCTCATTTTCTTCATGGGGTAGGGCAGACTTGATGAGGAGACCCCTCAGTTCACCCTCCCCCCCACCCCCCAAAACCGTCAGGTGCTCCAGGCTGGGAGCGGCTCCTTCCAGGCCATGAGAGGCTGCTCTGGGAGGTGTGAGAGCCAGGGACCTGATCTGACCGGGCCCCCCCCCCCATCATTAATAAACGCTAGCATTGATAAGCCTCTTTACCAATACTGCCTACTTGGAACCTCGCCACCACCCGGGCAGGTAGGTGCTATTGTTTATTATTCCCATTTTACAGATGAGGGAACTGAGGCCAAGAAGGACACTAAGTGATTTGCCCCAGAGTCACACAACCTAGTAAGTGTCCGAGGGTGGATCTGAACTCAGATCTTCCCGACTCCTAGTCCAGATCTCTACTCCCTGCTTCAGGTAAAATGGGGGCAATCCCACCCACACCGACCGCCTAAAAGGGCTCCTGTGAAGAAGTAGCTTTGCCAGCACTTTAGTGCTTGGTAAGGCCCAGGGCTTGGAGTCATTAAGACCCGAGTTCAGATTTGACCTCGGCCATTTAATAGCTAGGTGAACGTGGGTTCACCTTTTTCTCACTTTCCTCATCTGTAAAATGGGGGTAACAGCGGCTACTTCTCAGGGGTGGTGTATCAAATGAGTTAACATATATAACCTTAGAGTCCTGCATAAATGTGAGCTATGACTGAATGTTTACTATTTGCCCAGTCTCCAGGCTATTAAGTATGGCTGGGCATCGGATACTGGATGTGTAAGCGCGCGGCAGCCCGGGATTTCCCCCCCCCTTCTCTTTCCTCTCCCCTCACCTCGGGGCGGGAGGGGGCGGGGACGTGGTCGAGGCGCTCGGCGCTGCTAACGTAGTCGATCCGGTGGCGGGGCGCGGGGCAGAAGGCGGTCTCAGCTCTCGCGATGTCCTCCAAGCTCGGGTCGAACGTCCTCACGTGCAGCTTGGCGCCCCCGCCAGGAACCATGCAGCGCTCCAGCTCCTGCAGCGGGAACACCAGCGCCTTCTGCTGCCTCTCGGGCAGGCGCAGCACTTGGGCGACGGCCGCCGCCCCGAGCTGCGCTCGCGCCCCCATGGCCCGCCGCGGGACGAACCCCGCCAGTGTAGTGGACAACGCCCGCAGACTCATGTTGTAACTCCGACTGCCGAACTCCAGAACGCGTGCGCAGAGCTCTCGCACTCCCTCCTGGTAGTCGTAGTCTTTCTACGTTACTCTCCTCCAGCCCCACCTACCACCGCTTGTACCCTATCATAATTTGCTAAGCCTGAGAGGTGACGGCTGGAGGGGACAGGAGTGAATGCAAGGATTGCCCTTACCCCCAATCCCCATATCCAATCAGATGCCAAATCCTGTGGATTCTACCTTTCTGCCACCTCTGATTTATGCTCCCTTCTGCCCTAGGACGTAGACCTTAATGTTACTGTGGTGCAAGCCCTCATCCCCTCATGCCTGGACTATTTACTTCAATAGTCTGATGGTAGTGGGCCTGCCTCAAGGGTCTCCCCACTCAGTCCATCCTTCGCACATTGGTCAAATTGATCTTTCCATAGTGCAGATCTGTCTCTCTATTCGGTCCACATCCGTGGCTCCCTGCTCCTGCTACTGCTCCTGCTACTGATGTGGTTCAGTCGTGTCTTAACTCTTCGTGACCCCATTTGGGGTTTGCTTGGCAAAGATAGTGGAGTGGTTTGCCATTTCCTTCTCCTGCTCATTTTCCAGCTGAGGAAACTGAGGCAAACAAGGTGAAGTGACTTGCCCAGGGTCACACAGGTGGTAAGTATTTGAGGCTGGATTTGAATCACCTCCAAGATACAATATAAAACACTATTAGTCATTCAAAGCTCTTCATAACAAGATCTCTTCCTGCCTTTCCACACTTTTTGCACCTTAATCCCCTCCATAAACTCCTCCTTCTGGTATCACTGGCCTCCTTTGCTGTGCCTAGTATAAGACACATCACCCAGCTCCAGTCTCCTTCACTGGCTGTTCCTCATGCCTAGAATTCTCCCCCTCTTCACCTCCCAATTGCTGGCTTCCCTGGCTTCTTTCAAATCTCAGCTAAAACCCCCACCTTCCGCAAGCAGCTTTTCCCAATCCCTCTTAATTTGAGTGCCTTCTCTTAAAGATAATCTCTGACACGGCTGTTGCAGTGGTGAGCATGAGACCAGCTCAATACTCTTAACCTGGAGGTGCATTGATGAGGCGGAGACAGCAAGATTGCAGAAGCTCCGTTAAGTGCTAGTAGCTTTCTTTTATATCCTTAGTAACACCTGATCAAAGCATGATCTCCACCTGATAGCCAATCACCAAGTGTGCTGGACACCTGCAACCCTCCTGTCAGGGGTATGAGTAGGACTTTTCTCCCAATGAGAGGAGAGCCGAGCCAACCGTGGGAGCTGCGTGTCAGCAAAGGAGAGGTCTTGTGAGACTTCCTTGTTTTTGCCACACAACAGGTTGTGACCCTCAGCTTCTGCCAAGAGAAGCTAGAACTCCCATGAGAAAATTACCCTAACAGATCTCCAGTTTATCCTAAGAATTGTTTGCATGTAGTTGTTTACATGCTGATTCCTTCATTTGATAGTGAGCTCCTTGAGGGAAGGAACCATTTTTTGCCTTTCCTTGCGTCCCCAGCGTGAGCAAAGTGCCTGGAACATAGTAAATTCTTAATAAAAGCCTCTTCACTTGAATCACAGTAGAGAGTGTAGTGGAAATAAAAAGGGTAACAGTGTCAGCAATAATTGTGTTGTTAGCATTGCTACCCCCATGAACTAACGACACAATTGTTGCTAACATTGCTATCCATCTCAGAAAGAGGGCTGGATTGAGAGTCAAAAGCCCCATTCCAACACTTACTATGACCTTGGGCAAAGTGTTTAAAGGGGCTTGGCCCTCATTGTAAAATGAAGGGGTTTACCTAAATGACCTCTGAAATTCTTCTCAGTTCTAAATTTATGGTTACATCCCTGGCTGGGGGTGTGAGAGGTACCTAGCAAGTCTGGGGGCCTTTAGGAAGCTCTGCTGAGGTCTTGAGGTATTCTTACAGGAAGATTTGCTCAAGAAATTAAGCTGTTAGTTCCTCAAGGCCTGCCTTCTGTTTCCCGTAGATATGCTGATGGTGAACATCCTAGCTATAAATATACACTGGATGGAGGGAACCTTAGCTGAAGGAAAAGGGCCTGATGAGATATGCCTGTTTATTTCTGCCAAGTCTCCTCCCTGGTCCTCTGTCAAGAGTTCAGAGATGTCACCAGAAGAGCCATCAAGATCAAAGTAAAAGACAACTGGCACAGATACTTCCGAGTTGTTTTGTGACATCATATCAGAACATTTTACTTCAAAAAGCAATATTCCTGGGGCAGTTAGGTTGCACAGTAGATAGAGCTCCAGCCTTGGAGTCAGGAGGACCTGAGTTCAAATCTGGCCTCAGACACTTGACACTTACTAGCTGTGTGACCCTGGGCAAGTCACTTAACCCCCATCCCCTCTCCAAAAAGCAAAAAAAAAAAAAAAAAAAAAGCAATATTCCCACTGCTTAACTGATTGGTGCTCTAATTAGTCCATAGAACAATATGGAAATGGGTATCTTTGAAACTTCTAGTTCTAGAGTGCCAAAGAGTAAACTTTGTGTACTTTTAAGGAAAATGAACCAGCAGCTGAGTGGCACAGTGAGTAGAGCACCAGGCCTGGAGTTAAGAAGACTTGAGTTCAAATATGGCCTAAGACACTAGTTGTGTGGCTGTGGGTAAGTCACTTAATCCTGTTGGCCTCAGTTTCCTCATCTGTAAAATGAGCTGGAGAAGGAAATGGCAAACCACTCCAGTATCTTTGCCAAGGAAACCCATACAGGGGCAAGACTGAAAAACAGCTAAACAACAATGAGGAAAATGAGGATATAACCTTTTGCAAAGCTATCTCCAGGATTAGTAAACTCATGGTATTATAGATGTATGCCTATGAGACTACAGAAATAACTTTGTTTTAACCAAACAAGCTATATACAGGATAAACAAGAAATATTTAACAAAGGAAAGGCACTAGGATTTAGAGGGGTTTTGGAAAGGCTTCCTGTAGATTGTACGTAGGTTCCCAAAGTGGGCAATACCATCTCCAGGGGCGCTGTAGTAGCCTTAGGTACAGTTGGGGAGTGTTGAATAAAAATAAGGGGACAGTGGAAGCATAAGGAAAGAACAGAAGAAAATTTTGAAAAACCGTTCATATATGTTTCATCTATTGAGTAACAGAGTTATAGTCATAGTGATTATATTATTTTTCAAATAAACACACAAAATGCAAGTTATAATCAATCAATGGTCAAGTCCAATGACAGGTCTTAACAAGCAAGTGTTGGCAGGTGAGTGTGTCGTGCATTGTCGGGAAGTCCAGCATACATCAGCAAGAATATGTTCATGTAATGACTTGTGTACAGTGCGATAAAAACTATGTGATTACATGACACAATATTGTATCATCAAAATTTCAATGCAGGAAAAAACCTAAAAATTTACAAGAAATTATTAAATTTAAGATGCATCATTTAAAATATATATTTTATATTTTTTTGAAATGATCCAAATTTAAAAAAAAATAAAGGGTTAAAGAAAGTAAATTTCCAAGGGGTGCTGAGTAATTTTTTTTTTTTTGAAAAGGGGGCAGTAGGCCAAATAAGTTTGGGAATCTCTGCTGTAGAAGATGAGATTTTAGCTGAAGGAAGCCAGGAGGTGGAGATGAGGAGGGAAGTGCATTTCAGGTGTGGGGATAGCCAGAGAAAATGCCTGGTGCCAAGAGATGGAGTGTCTTGTTCTTGGAACAGCTTAGAGGCCATTGTCATTGGATCAGAGTATGTGGCCTGGAATAAGGTATAAGAGAACCGGAAAGGAAGAGGGGTCTTGGTTAAGAAGGGATGGGAGTGCCAAACAGATGATTTTGTATTTTATCTTGGAGGTAATAGGGAGCCACTGGCGTTTATTGAGTAAGGGGATAATATGACAGGACTTGTACTTCAGGAAAATCACTTCAGTTGCTAAATAGAGGATGGATTGGAGTAGGGAGAGACTTGATTGAGGCAGGCAGACCTATAAGACTAGAACAGGCTGGCTAGAACATGGAACTTGGAGTCAGGAAGATCTGAGATCAAATTCTACCTCAAGACACTAGTTCTGTGACCCTGGGCAGGTAACTTGACCTCTGCCTCAGTTTTCCTTCTCTTTTAAAAAAAATTTAATTTATTTATTTTTAGTTTTCAACTTTCACTTGCATAAGATTTTGAGTTTTAAATTTTCTCCCCCTCCCACTTCTTCCCCCCCTCACCCCCATGGTGTACAGTCCCATGCAGGCTTTACATACACATTTATGTTAAGCATATTTTCCCATTAGTCATCAGAATGAGGATATTAATAGCACCCATTTCCCAGGGTTGTTGTGAGGATAAAATGAGAAAATATTTGTAATGTATTTAGCAAACCTTAAAGTACTATGTAAATGATAGCTCTTATCATGATCATTGTTGTTGTTGTTACTTGTATTTCCCCTAAGTACAATGCAAACTTCATGAATGCAGGTACTATATTTGTTTTGTTTTGTTTTCTCTGTATCCCTTGTACTTAGCTTATAATAGGTGCTTTGTAAATATTGAATTGCATTGATTTTTGTAAAAAAATCCATATATTTTCTGATCACTTTAATTCTGAATTTGACAGTATTATAAACTACTTCCTTAATAAGAAGGATATTATTGCTTGCTACCAATAAAATGTTTGAGAACAATATTTTATTAAATAACTCACCTGGTAAGCTGCTTCACAATAAATTTTATCTTATTATGTAAGCCAGAATTTGGAAAATCACTTCAGCTAATGACATTTTTACTTAATATCTCAGGTTTTATTTTTAAGTTGGCTCCTATGTTAACTCAAATGAATCAATATATCTAAAGTGTTTTAGTGCTATATAAATGTAAGCTATTATTATTATTATTATTGTTTGTAAATATTTACCTTTGGAATTTTTTCTGTGATGCTGAAAGTGTGTATTTTTAAAAATTTGTTAATTAATTTGGTAGGATTTATTTGATAGGATCAATAGCAGTAAACCTTCCTCCACTGGAAATTTGGCAGCTTTTTTATTTCTTT